TTTTTTCCGGCAAAGCTCCAAGCCGGAAAAAAGCGGCAGCCATTTTTATGCTAATGAAGCAGGGGGGATTTAAATCCCCCCTTCATTTGCAATTGCGATATGTCTAATTTGCATCCCTTTTACGAAAAAGGGATGCAGTCTAGACACAGCCAATGACTGGTGAGCCTGAGGGCAAAGGACATTGCTCAATCCCTTGGAGATGGGATGGTTACTCGTGGGGGGTTATGAACTCTGTTTGTGGTATTTTCCCAAGTTAATGCCATGTGACTTTTCTCTCTCTTTCATTAAAAGTTTCTTTTCTACACTCAGGCTGTACCTAGACTGGCAAGTTTTTCCGCAAAAGCAGCCAGCTGTCTACACTGACCACTTGAATTTCCACAAGAACACTGACGATCTCATGTAAGAAATCAGTGCTTCTTGCAGAAATACTATGCTGCTCCCGTTCGGGCAAAAGTCTTTTTGTGCAAAAGGGCCAGAGTAGACAGCTCAGATTTGTTTTGCGCAAAAAAGCTCCGATTCTGAAAATGGCAATCGGGGCTTTTTTGCGCAAAAGTGCATCTAGATTGGCACGGACACTTTTCCGCAAAAAATGCTTTTGCGGAAAAGCATCCGTGCCAATCTAGACGCTCTTTTCTGCAAATGCTTTTAACGGAAAATTTTTCTGTTAAAAGCATTTGCGGAAAATCATGCCAGTCTGGACGTAGCCTCAGACTCTGTGCTTGCGAGTGGGGAAGCATTGCCTCTCAAAGACGCCCAGGGGTGTGTGAATTTCCTAGGCTACTGGGTGGGGCTCGAGCTGGTTCTGTGTGGGATGGACCCCTATATATTGAACCCAGCCCTACCCGACAGAAGAGTTACATTCCTATAACAGTGAACATTTAATTAGATAAAAACTGGGGAAAATGTTTAAAAGCAAGCAGCAATATTATCCATCCAAATAATAAAATAAAATTTGAATGCTGCCAATGTATAACACAGGCCATAGGGTATCCCTAAATTAATTCCTATTAACTGCTACTACAAACAATCTAGATTTAAAAATCAAATTTAACCTTACCAGGACATAAACAAAACTTTATGAAATATACTAGAGTAAGACAAAAATCCTGTACTAAGCTGTAGTTTCAAATGCATATGGAGTTCTTACTTCTCCCTGTCCTAGCCTTGTGTCAATTAACCACCTGGCTCCACCCCAGAGGTGGCTGCATTCAACAAACTTCAAGTAGAGCATTTTAAGGCCTAATCCTGCTGACACTCCCTTCCTGGCCTAGTGCTTTCTAATGGGAGTTGTTTACTTGATAGGATTACTCATGATAGAAAGCAGGCCTATGCACAGCAGTAAAACATTGGCAGGATTAGGCCCATAAATTAAGATGCTACAGAAGACTCATATGCTTACATTTACACACATGAGAAGCCCCACTGGAGTCTTACTAAATATATGTGTAAATTTTTGCAGGGTTAGGATCTTATCCAAAGAGCACTTTAAGGAGTGGATGAAAGGTGCTATTTAAAAGTAAGATGTTCATTATATTCTTGACTTGTTTGAATTGCCTCAGTCTCTTGGCAATATCTAATACAATAGATGAGGAATAGAAATGTGATAAACATAAATCCCCAAAGCCAGAAGTACTTGAGACAGACTATCGCTTAATAGAAATGCAATTTATTTCTTTTGTCCGTTAGCTTTTTGACTGCTCTGCCGTACGGCTTCTGCATTAAAGAGTATATTCTTGGATAGAATACTGGAGCAAAGCCAGTCCTGTTACCTTTTGACTTCCTTGGCTAAAAAGTGAGCGTTTTTTTTGCGTATTTTGGTTATTCTAATTATATTTTAACCCGATCACAAGATGCCTCTTCTATAGGAAAATCAGACTTTCAGCGATGCCTGTGGACACAAAATATTCCTCCCCCATTCAGGCATCGACACATGTCAGTCAGCTACAAGGTCAGCTGCTGCTCACTAGTCATTCACTGCAAAGCCAGAAAATACTTGCACGGTTCCAAGGCACTGACAGATGGGTTCCCAGAAGCTGAGGGTCAGCCAGCCTGGAGAACCAGGAGGAGGATCCGACATTGACAAAAGAGGTGTTTGAAGCAAGCTGGCCGAAGCCAGCCTTACAGTGGGGCCCTGGAAAAGTGTGGCCGCTCCCGCTGCCAGCTTGGCTTGAATCGGTATCTGACCCACGCTCTGTCCAAAGAGCAGGATTTGGGCTCTCGGGAGCCACATTCTGAGTTGGCCCTGCTAGGAGGGACGGTTAACTGAGCACACGGTGCAGGCATGACAGCCGGTGGGAGTAGGGTTGCCAGATGGTTTCAACAAAAATACCAGACACACTTGACATGACATCACAATCGACGTTACATCTGATTTAGAAAATACCGGACAGTTCTATTTTCTCAGTTCTATTTTCTCATTTTTTTTCCCCCAAACAGAAAGTTCAAATAGGACTGTCTGGTTCAAAACTGGACACCTGGCAACCCTAGGCGGGAGACCTCCAGTACCAAAAGCACAAAGGCTGCTCTGGAGATGGGGCTGTACTAGACTCATGTCCTCAGTGAATCGCCCCAGAGGGGGCTTGTCCCACACACCTACCAGTGGGGCACCTCTGTGCTCAGGAAACCCATCCTGAGGCCCACAGAAGGTTGAATCCTGCAATAGCCCTTAGTAGGTGACACAGGGCAGCAACAACAACCAAGCCCCAGCAGCCAGGGCTCTGTCAGCCACGCAGGGCTGGGGGCGTGGAGAAGGACAGAGAGTTCAGCAGCAGACAGGCATATCACAGCATAGGAACCCTCGCCCAGCCCGGCCCAGCTCCTGTATTTTCTGCCAGGTGAATTACAGCAGCCTCAGTGGCGGGGGGAGGCAAAAGCAAGTCTAATCTGCACACCCCTGGGAGGCAGGTGTGAGTGCTTCCAGCCATGCCGGGCATCCCTCGGCTCACTGCTGCATCCAGGGGGTGCCGGACACACGCGGGCTCCAGGCGCTGTACTCGCCGTAGTCCGTGAAGTCCTTGGCGGCCACTTGCACGTGGTGGATGGCTCTGGGGCGGATCCCCGTCAGGATGAAGGAGGTCTGCTCGTACGGCCCGATCTGTAAGGCAACACACACAGCAGAGGCGGGGTTAGGCCGCGAACATGCCCCTGGGGAATCCTGCAGGGCCACACATGAGGGGAGTGGGAGGCAGGACACAGAGCTCCGATGCCCGAGGGCCTTGGACTCGCCTTGTGGTCTTGGGCAAACCGGGCCCCCTCTCTGGGCCCGGGTTAGATGGTTCCAGCCTGCCTTTGGGAAGGGCTTTGAGAGCCGTGGAGGGAAAGGGTTGTATCCGGCTTGCATGTTAGCACTGAAGTGAGGCTGGGGGAGGTTGGGGGGCCGCAGCCCCTCTACTGCTTGCAGGGGCAGTTAGAGGGGAACCTGTCAGAGGTGGGGGTGGGGAAGGGCTGGCAAAGCTCAGGTATCTGGGAGGAGGCACCGCGCTGAGCGATGTGAAAGATGGAGGAGCCGCTGCTGGATACCTGGAGGGCTGGAGGAATTGCCCAAGCGGATCAGACTCAGGGTCTCTCCGGCCCAGTCTCTCACCTCTGACAGTGACCAGCACTTGCTGCTTCAGAAGAAGGTGCAAGAATCCCCAGGAGGGCCAGAGCCAGGGGATGGAGAACTGGGGCAGGAGGGACGGATGGGGCTCCCCCTTCCTGCCCATAAACGAGCTCTCCAAGGCTCTTCAGAGTGCGCGGAAAAGCAAAGAGGCGTCTCTGCCTTCGCTCACCCCCTGCAGTCCTGGCGCGGGCAGGATGGGACTGGAGCAATTTCTCTGCCAAAGCAGATAATGGACTCGACCCGGGGGGGCAAAGAGGCTGCCCTCAGTGCCCCCACAAAGCAAAGCGAACCCACAGCAGCCGACCAGCTGCCGGAGCCGAGAGCGCGGGAACTCACCGGTCGGGCAAAGCAGAGCCCACCCCACCGCAGCCGACCAGCTGCCGGAGCCGAGAGCGCGGGAACTCACCGTTCGGTCGCTCTTGGCTCCCTCCCTCGCGTAGCGGATCAGGTACTTGAGGGGGAAATACTGCGGGAAGGGCCAGGAACTGGGCGGCTGCCACTCCAGGAGCAGCTTCTTGCTTTCCCCAGGGATGGGGGAGACCCGCAAGCCTTCTGGGGGATCCGGCCGGACTAACAAAACCCAGAGAACAATCACGGCTTGGACTGTCTGGCCAGGCTGGCAGCCTGAGTCCTACCCCAGCTGGGGGGCCCAGCACAGCGAGCGTCCCAGGGCTGTGCTCTGAAATCTACCAGGGCCCCAACATGCTCCTGGAAAGGCCCATCCAGCCAGTGCTGCAGACTGAAGCCGTCTGTCGTGGGGGGCTGGGGAGGTGCCCCCCACACAGCTCCCCACTGGAAAGGATCATGCCAGAGTTGGGGGAACACATCTAAGCATGGCCCGCTTAGACATTGCCTGCTGGTATCTGCAATTCCCAGCCCCCAGCCCCAATCTGGACCATCCCAGTGGTATCTGGTATTCCCAACTCCTGTCCCCAGTCTGGCCAGCCCTGCTGGTATCTGAAATTCCCAGCCCCCATCCCCCATTCTGCTTGTATTGTCAGATTCACTGAAATATCTTCTCGTTTTCTGGTGCCCCACATTGCGCAAAGCAGCCCTCCTCCTCCACCCCATTACCGGGGTCACCCAGTGCAGGGAAAGCACCGTGGGGGAGCAGGAGCGCTCCTGACTCCCTCGCCCACTGGCTCTGAGACTAGGACCCAGGAGCCCAGACTCCCAGGGCCCCGCTCTAACCCCCATGCCATGCACTCCTGTGCCTGACGCCCTGCGCCCCGGGGATCCCTGCCCTCCCCTCCCCACAGCAACGTAGCCCTGCGGCTGCGAACTCTCACTGATCTGCTCCGCGATGAAGGGGAAGAGGGTCATCGCCGCGCCCAGCGGGTTCACGGCCGTCACGTTCAGCACGTAGGGGGTGATGGAGAACAGCTGGATGTCGCTGATGGTGCAGCTGCTGGCCCCGGCCCCCGGCTGGACACACTTGCTCTCCTGGGCCCCCAGGCCATGCCTGCGGCATGAGAGGAGGCAGCTTAATGCCCCGTGGCAGAGACGCCGCTCCCTGGGGCCCTGAGAGCTCAGTCTGAGGTGACACCAGCACAGAGGGTCTCTGTCCGCTGCCCACCGACAGACCTTTGCCTACCCGGCTCCCCAGGGCGAGCGGGATCTGTGCTCGCCTCTCCCACCAGAGGAGGGTGATCTCACCGGGACAGATGGTCCAGCTAGAGCCTGTGTCTTCCCCCTCCCCCCCATGTCCTCAGCTAGGTCCTGGCTCCAGGAGGATTTCACCTGTATGTGGTGATGAAATCAGTCTCCAGGCCCGGTTCAGGTTGCAGCTTCCAGGTGCAGTTGACGGTCTGGGGGTAACTGACAGCCCAGCACTCAACGGCAGGCTTCTCGGGGGGCACTGCGGGAGAGGGAAGGACGGAGCATCACACAGACATCACAAGGGAGCCTGACGACATCCCGGGCCGCGATATCCTGGAGCAGCTCATGTTGCCCACCACACTCGGGCTGTGTCTACACTGGCCACTTATTCTGAAAAATCAGCCGCTTTTCCGGAATAACTTGCCAGCTGTCTACACTGGCCCCTTGAATTTCCGGAAAAGCACTGACAATCTAATGTAAAATCGTCAGTGTTTTTCCGGAAAAACCATGCTGCTCCCGTTCGGGCAAAAGTCCTTTTCCGGAAAACTGTTCCGGAAAAGGGCCAGTGTAGACAGCACAGATTTCTTTTCTGCAAAAAAGCCCCAATTGCGAAAATGACGATCGGGGCTTTTTTGCGGAAAAGCGCGTCTAGATTGGCCACGGACGCTTTTCCGCAAAAAGTGCTTTTCCGGAAAAGCAGCCTGCCAATGTAGACGTGCTTTTTCCGAAAATGCTTATAACGGAAAAGTTTTCCGTTATAAGCATTTCCGGAAAAGGGTGCCAGTGTAGACGTAGCCTCGGTGTGGCACTTGGTTCCTGGCTGGGCCACGCTGATCAGCCAGCAGAGGCATTTACATCCAAGGGTCCCAGGTTCGATCCCCCACGCCTGACAGCCTGTGCAGGGGCAGAGCGCCCCCGTGGAAAGGGACAGCCCACTCACAGCCCACTTGCAGCCGAATCCTGCGCAGGGTCTTCCCAGTGCCAGGCTGGTGGCAGCTGTATTCCCCTTCCTGAGCCAGGCTGGCGTTCCGCAGCCAGAGCTGGCCCTTGTCTCTGGCCACCGCGTCCTCGGAGGCAGCCACCTGCGTGCCATTCACTCTCCAGTCCACCCTGGTGGCCATGTCGCAGTGGAGAAGCAAGTCGGTGCCGAGCGCCCCATACTGCTCGTGGCAGAGGCCTGGAATGCAAGGAGGAACCGTCAGAGGGCGCCTGGCGTGTTACCCGGAGCCTGGGCCGGCAGGGTGTGCACACGGGAGGGAGGTGCTTAAATTACATCAAAATGGGTCTCAGACTTTCTGGTCCACAGCCCACCCTGCTCGCTGCAGACCTTTCCGCCAACCAGCCAACCATCCATATGACAAAATAGGTGCAGGATGGGGTGAGGCTCTGGCCAGGAGGTAGGGTGCAGGAGCGGGATGGGGATGTGAGGTGGGGGTGGGAGGGTGCAGGAGCAGGGTGAGGGGGCCTAGGTAGGAGGTGGTGGGTCTGGCCCGAAGGAGCGGGATGGGGATGTGGGGTTGGGAAGGGAGGATACAGGAGCTGGGTGGGGGTGGGGAGCCTGGGTGGGAGGGAGATGGGGACACTTTACTTGGCTCCGTACCTCTCACTGCTCCCATTGGCTGTGATTCTGGCCAATGGGAGCAGTGGGGAAAGCCTCCAGGAGAGTGGTTGGGGGAGGGGCAGCGACAGTGCACGGAGCCGCTTCCGTCTCTGTGAGCGCCAATCTTGCGGGGGCGGGGCTAGAGCACCAGCGCAGGCTCCCCACTGCACGGGAGGGGGGCAAGCCCTGAGCCCCTGCCCACCTGCAAGATGATGGCAGACCCTAGAGGTCCATTGACCACAGCTCTAGGGAATTCAGAAGGGGGCAGAGCATCCGGTGCGATCTCCCGGGTACCACCGGCCCCAGAGTTTAACCCAGGTGCCCCTGTAGTGAGCTTGGAAATGTGTTTGGACAACGCGCCTCCCCCGAGAGGCCACCGGAGCTGATCTGAAGACACCAAGGCTGTGTCTAGACTGGCCAGTTTTTCCAGAAAATCAGCCGCTTTTCCGGAAAAACTTGCCAGCTGTCTACACTGGGTGCGATCTCCCGGGTACCACCGGCCCCAGAGTTTAACCCAGGTGCCCCTGTAGTGAGCTTGGAAATGTGTTTGGACAACGCGCCTCCCCCGAGAGGCCACCGGAGCTGATCTGAAGACACCAAGGCTGTGTCTAGACTGGCCAGTTTTTCCAGAAAATCAGCCGCTTTTCCGGAAAAACTTGCCAGCTGTCTACACTGGCCGCTTGAATTTCCGCAAAAGCACTGACTTCCTACTGTAAGAAATCAGTGCTTCTTGCGGAAATACTATGCTGCTCCTGTTCAGGCAAAAGTCCCTTTTGCGCCAAAGGGCCAGTGCAGACAGCTGAGAACTGTTTTGCGCAAAAAAGCCCCGATTGCGAAAATGACGATCGGGGCTTTTTTGCGCAAAACCGCGTCTAGATTGGCCAAAGAAGCGTTTTTTGCAAAAA